CATCTGAAGTCTGATATACCCGAATTTCAAAACAAGTTCGAACAACTTATCTCATTATTTCATAAAAAGGACTAATTGGATAAGTACCTAATCTTTTCCTAAGTGTGCGATTGCCAAATACCTACTTTGATCGTTCAAATAGTCGTGTCCTATAAAAACAACTCAACCCATTCAAACATTTTTCCATTTGGCTTTTCAATTTAAAACCTTTTCCAAAAGAGCTATATTTCGTCCGTTCCGCGACGATGAAACAACATTCCTTCCACATGTGAATGTTTAGCCTTTTCCACTCGAATGCGATGATGGAAATATTTTGTGCATATCCAGACTCAATTATCCATTCTTGAAGTGATACAATCGTTCCATTATCCATGTTTCAGGCAGCAATGTTTCCGTTCGAATGTGATAGAGTATCTCTCACTAAAACGAACCAACCCACAAATATTTGTTACCCGAACTACGAAGCTCTGATTTCCTTATTGCACCATGAGGATACGTAGACACGAGGTTTTGAAATCGAGGCGAGTACAATAATAAAAAAACCCAAAAGCATTTCTCCTTTCTTTCTTTCTCCTTTCTTAATTAGAAGATTGCAAACATTCACGCTAACATTCATACACATGGCTAACCAAATGGTTCTCATCAAGTACGATGGATGTGAGAGGTGCTAATACTTTCCAATTGCATAACCGACTCCCGAACTCGTTCACGGCTGCGATGACCGTTTTATCAATTCTTCTTGAGTTTTGTCGATATTTTCCCGTACCTTTGGAGCAAAATAAAAGTTCGGTGGCTACTTCATTATATGTATTTTTTTCCACTGCGACAGCTAATATATACATTTTGTTGTAACTTTATGTATTTTGAGAGATTGGTCTAATCTAAGATTGAAAAAAAAGATAAAAATAGTCAATGATATACACGTTAATACTTAAAAAATTAATTTGTAAAAAAAAAACTTAAAGAACTATTTTATTACAATAAAATAAATTAAAGTACTCGTGATATACTTTTACCTATTTATATTTATATATTACTCTAAATAAATTATTAATATTTTATAAATTTATTACTTAAAAAAAAATCTTGATTTTTTGAGTTAATATTATTCCCACAGTAAAAATTATTTTAATATAATAATATGTTTTTATTTTTTTGATGTTAAACTTAGTTGAGAGGACTACTATTCAATCCCGGAATTATTGTCGAGAAGGGACCGAAACTAGTATCAGAATTGATCCTGAACTCGAAGGAACAGTGAAAACAAAAAAAAAATTAAAAAACATAAATGAAAATTAGTTTCGCAACTTTTCAAACAATAAATTAAACAGAAGCTTGTCACAATCACACGACGGAGATGGAGGAAGCAACCGGTAGCGGCGGCGGGATTCACTGGTTGTGGGCGGTAGCCAGTGCCGGTCAAATGGGATGGGGTGTGCGTTCATACCTTAAGGGGTACCCAGGGGATTCCTGCCTCATGCCTTTGAAAGCTTTCTCTGTTGCTTCTCTCTTCATAGGTAGCGCTGCTTCCGCTTCTATCTTCATTCTTCAATCCAATGGCATCCATGGGGTAATACTCTATTTTTTTCTTGCTTGTTATTTTCGTAATTTTGTTTTGTGTTATATAGCTTTTTTTGTGATGCAAGTTTTGCAATGAAATGGATTGTGATTTTAGGGTTTTTTTTTGGATTGAATGGAAGTGGTGCATTGGGAATTTTGAGTATTGTGAACTGTATCTTAAATTAAAAAGGATGAATGTGTTTTGTATTATGAAGCACAGACACAGACACGGTCGACACTGCCACGTCTTTTTTCAGAGGTGTCAGTGCTACTGAGATTTTATATGATAATCACCTCGATACTCATATATGAATAGAAAGCACTATTTTCATAATCATGAATTGAATCTTATTTTGAATCTTAAGATACATTACTAATTAAAAAAAAAACAAGTGATATAGCTAAACTCTAGGCTGATAGTCATTAATCAAACGAAAAAAATAAGGCTGACATTACAAATTGACAAAAAAGTGACTATCATATGATTAGGTAGTGGTTTTTTGGAATGGACTGGGATTCAACACAATGGATTGGGAGTTTATATAAGATTCATATCCAAGATAGATATCCACTAGGGATTTATATCAATCGAGTTTAATTTTGTATCGAATTGAGATATGAATCACAGGTATCGTAACATACTGATACCTGTGATGTTATTGAAAGAGATGGGTTTGTATGATAATCTGAGTTGAAAAATGAGTTGTGAAATGGGTGTTTGGGTGGTTTGTGGGTTTCTAGTGGTATCAGAAAGCTGGGCTTGGAAGAGGATTTTCATAAGCCGAGTTTGCAATCAAATCGGGGCCTTGTTGTTTTGTTTGTACACTAAAAACATGTTTGGATGAAGATGTAATTTTTGTGGAGGTATATATTATATAATGGATGAACTTATGTGATAAGGTAATTATAGAGTGAGAGTGAATTCGGATATTGGTTCTTGTTTATCTGTGGTTCATTGGATTTTAGTGATTGGCAAGAAGATCTGGTTCTAAGCCATTCAAGCTAACAACGAAAAACAACACCAATTGCATTGTTCTTCAATGACTTTGATGGTAGTCTTAATTTTGATATCCATTCCTTCCTTCTTTTACTGGTGACTTGCTCTGTTGTAACTTGTACCTTACACTTTCATGGAGCCGAATCCAATCTTGAAGAACTTTGATAGGAATCAGAAAGAACAGTATAATCAAGACTACGTTTAGGATGGATACTCTTGCCAACAAACGCAGAGTATGATGAGTATATTAAGACTGATAATGAAAAGAATGTAATGGAGTCTAGCTCCTTACAAGAAGAATGTTAAAAACAGTAAAAAACAATTGAATTACTTTGAGAGTTGAGACTGACAGAGAGAGACCCTGAACCCTATCTTCACACTCAATCTGTTACAACAATCCCCTTCCGTAACAGAATCTCACATATTCTTATCCTCTCTCATAATGCCATCTTTGATTTCTGTTACGCTCTTCACAATCGGGATTGTTTCCTCCATCTCAGTTGTTAAGAGGTCGCTTTTGTGGTGTGGTAGCATACAGTGGAACATTTACTTTTTTGGAGCACCAAGACTGCGAATTCGATCCTGACTGACAACAGAATTGCAATTGCATTTTGTATTTAAATTGTTCAACCATTGGCTTTTCTTGATGCGATGTTGCCACTGTTGTAACTTGCAAGTTATATTGGGGGTGTGATTTGTATACATTTCAGTTTTGAAGTTTACCACAACAAAGTAAGTGACATTTCCCATCTCCTCCTACTCTCTTGTGCATGATGTGATACGCGCCCGTCCTTAAATATTGTGCGTTGTTCTGAGTAAATGTGTGTAGAGTCGTAGACATACAAAGTGCATCTAGAAGAAATCGATTCTAACAAGTTGTATTGTCGAGTCTTCCGATTTTAGAGGTGAGTTGCTGATGTCATCATTGGCTGTGCATAGGTGATTAGATACACTGGACGCCAGGTTTGGTTTTTGGTTGAACTAATCAGACTAGTCAGTCATCTCCGAGTTTAATAACAAAGTTTTTAATTGTTGGCTAGATAACTTCAGCCCTTTTTGGACACCTAAAATATTGCGACTTATAACTCGTTATTTTGCTGTTTGTGGTGGACGATACACAACAGTACAGATGGTTATGCCAAAATCTAATTTGGAAGCCCGATCATAAGGCATTTCACTTTGACTGTAGTTTAGGATGTGAAAATGATTAGTTAAATAATGCATAGTTATTATTGTAGATGTCAAGAGAACTAGTGGGTTTTTTAAACGTGACTATGGTATCTGTTCTTTTCAAGTGGTTTTTCAGTAAAATAAAACATCTTATCTAGATGTAAGATCTCATTATATGCAGATATTATCTTCTCACAAACTAAATGTTATTGCATATAGGTGGATGATCTTATTGACGCTGGTGCCAATTTAAGAGCTAAACTTGGGTTACGTCCACGCACACCGAATAAGTAAGCAAATTATTCTTAGTTCATGTAAAGAAAATATATCTGTAACTGGGTTTTGTAAGATCACTTTCTTTAAAAGTGAAAGCGAGTTTTGAAAATAGAAAACATTAGGATCCGTTTACTATGATGCTTTCTAATTTCATTTTCACTAGTAAAATAAATATTAGAGAAAATATTGTGGGAGATTTTGAAAACATTTTAAAAATAGATTGAACATATTTGAAAATACCGAATTATTTCAAATAATTGTTTTTAGGCTTTCCAAAAATGCATTCGCCTTTTTAACTTCCACTTACTCTCTGTTAATTGATTAGTTCATATTTTTGCGAATTTTATAGTGAAATTCATGGTTTTTTTTGTTTTCTTAAATAACCTTTACGTGTTCTCTAAAATAAAATAACTCATTTTTCTTTGAGTAGGAATTTGGACGAGTCCTAACCAAATACTCAATCACATCTTGTGCTATTATTTGGTGGTGTGGTTCCTTGGTGGAGAAGCATTCATAACATACTGTGGTTTGGTTCCTTGTAAGGTTGAAGGTTTCATGCGCAGTTCTACAATAATCTGTTATTAGAGCACATTTTGTGTATGCAACTTGTAATATTTTGTCATCCGTAACACATTTTTCATTGATCTTAGTCATTGATCATGAAGTGTAGTTTCCTAGAGCTTCAATTTTTGTAAGACACGGCTTAAGTAATAGCTTGATTATGAATATGCTATCAGTAGTGATGCTAGTTGTTAAGATATAAAGTAGAATCAATGTTTATGTAGGATTTATTGATAAAAATGCAAATATAGTTTTATACTGTTGTCTAATGTCTTGCAATATGTCACAATCTATTGACCAATTTGCATGACCCGAAATAATAATCAAGTCGTGTGTTTGATTATAATCTAGTCACTTATTCCTACTCCAATGTAAAAGCTCGTAGACTTGATATGCTTTATCATCTATCATCTTGAAGTTTGATAGGTATCTCTGCTCAAGGATTTGAGGAAATATAGCTCACGCCCGTTTGACTATAGTGAGGGAGTACATTAAACTCTCCACCAGCAAATGAGTGATCCTTTTTAAAAATAGGACGTCTAAGCTCTACATATGCGCAGTATTGCAGTTTTGCCTTAGCATCTGCAACATCTTTTCTGGTTGAAGAAAGCGCCGTTTGAAGTGCTTCCCCTGCAAAGGTTAAATTCAATTGCAATACACGGATACACTCTATTCAATACTATCGTCGATACACAAACAAGGTAGCTTCTACATCTATATAACAGGAGTTAGTTTTAGTTACCATGTGTAAGGAATAGCAAGTTCTGAGTAGGGTATTTATCTGCAAGCTCCTTGATTGTTTGCTGATATCTAGCCCTTGCTTCTATAAATGACTCTCCCCAGCGTGGTAACTTTAAGTTTATCAGACAAAACAATCTTTAGTTATATACTAAAACATGGCATGCATGTTTATATGCTAGCAACTTGATGATTAATAAAATTAAGATGAAACTCTGTATACCTCATTATACACCCTTTCAACTTTTTTATCCACTGTTCCAGCTGGGAGCAGGGCTTCAAGTTCTGATATATCAAAACTTATATTTCCATCTTTAGGAGCAACATTAGGACGAATAGCTACATTGTTAATCACTTCACATAGTCCATACTCAATGGAGACCTACAATAATGGAAGATAAAAACTATTTTAGCAAATAAATCTGACTGAGTGATCTATATGAGATAATATTTTAAAAATCTAATCGAATATCGAGCTGGGAGACTTTGATCAAACGGTTAAAATATCCAAGTTGTAATAAAGGTGGTTCAGGGTTCAATCGTTTGCATGAAAGCAATTCAGTTGATAAATTCTGATTCGAACTTACAATATTCTATTTATTTAACTTGAAGAGGTGAAATTGGTAAATACTAGATAATTAAATGTGCATTTTTTGGGTCAAGGAAATACACATCATGTAATAGAGATTCAATCCTACCTAAACATTGTGATTTGAATATTTAAACTAACAAGATTCAATAGTTAAAAAGTTATGACCTTGACTTTTGAATTGTCATCAAGATAGCTTTTGCTCATGAGAGTTTCAATACCATCATCAATGACAGAGAGAGAACCAGCAAGTTCGACGGCAGTTTGGACACAACGGAGGAAGGGAGATACAAAAAACCGATGAATCGGATATTTGAGACTCTGTTGGATCCCTTGACTCAATTGAAAGGTTCGAATACGACCGGCTTGGGCTAGGGGTGGATCCCACGGCCGCGACGCCGTGGTTGCCCACAAGGGATCAATGTTATCAAGACGTTCACCGTGCCTCATTATGATGACGTTTTGGTATGAAATGAGATGTTGGTTTCCTAGAATCTGTATTCCTCTTGTATCCATTTCACTAATCTTTTAGAACAAAAAACTTTGAGAGATTATATTACATACTTTGGGTTTGGGTGTCAGGATATAAAGGAATGGAATATGGAAAATTGGCTTTGGGTCAGCAAATTTAATGTTGAATATCATTGAAGTGTAAAGTGGGGTTGGATTCCTTGGACTTTCTATGTATATCACCCCTTGATGGAACATGCATGACCTTGCCTTTAGTTATTGTGAAATTAAATGTAAAAGTTAGGGTTCAAACATTTTATTTGTTCACCTTTAAAAGGTGAATCTTAGCTACTAGATTACTTGACCTAAATAAAATGTTAATAGGAATCTAAAAGTCTAAACATTCAAGAAAATTATTTTACTAATGATTAATTTAAGATCATATCATAACTATATGTATTAAGCCTTAATCTACAACCATACGAAAGTTTTAATACGATCAATAAATTTAGAGAATGGCATTTCCTCGCGTTTGAATAATATGTTATTGTGATCAAATCAAATAATCAAAATACAAACTGATCAAATGTTTCGAATACAATTATAAGAATCTTTGAAATGTGTTTGAATGAAGCATTTTAAAGAAGGGAAATAATTTTTTTAGAGAATTTAAAATGATTTGATTAAAGTTTATTGTTTGGATAAAAATATGGAGAATTGTTACAACATTATAAATTTATGAAGTATTTTATTCAAGTCAAATTTAAGGAATTTCAAATGACACCAAAATGTAACGAATTTCAAATAACACTAAAATATAAAGTTTTTTAAAATTGTTCCATAATTTAAATGTTAAATTGTTTATTATTAATTTTTCAAAACTTGTAAAATGACCCTTATATTTTATGAAAACTATAAATTTATCTCCAAAATTTTCATAAAATTGCAAATAAGTCCTTAAATAATTTTCAAATTTTACAAATTGTTTCTTGAAATTTTCAAAATTGCAAATTGATCCTATTTTTCATATTTTAAATTTGGCCCAAAAGTTTTAAAATATATGAAAATGACCTAAAAAATTTAACAATGAATCATTTTAATACTCCGTCAAATAAAAACAAAATAAAAAAATAAAAAAATTTCAATTGAATTATTTAAATTATTTAAAATTTTGAATTTCTTAAAAATTCTCAATTATCTTACCCAAATACATTCTTAAGAAAGAACAAACAATAAATTTTTGAGCATGATAAGTAACATTTTTGGACAACCCAATGAAGAAAATAAGAAGATTTTAGATTGATGATATCATGATGTAACAAGTTGTTCTTTGTAAGTAGCTCATTTTGAATTAGCCTAAAAAACAAAACCTCTAAATGAATCAATTTATTCCAAGTCAATTTCCGAAGGGGTAAAGGATTCTCTGACAAGTTCCAACTCAATTAACCTAATAATTGTCTTTTATGTTATTATTTTAATCTAAATTTTTTATTATGATTTTTTAACACGCCTCTTAAGACATAACCTTAATAATAATAAGTCCTAATTCATCTAATGATTATAACTTTTGCCAAAATTTAATTTAAGAGTTGAAACAATCATCCATCGCCCATCCATTCATTTACCATCTTGGTAGTAATTGAATTATAAAATTAATTACCTAATTTAAAATGGAAATATTAGGATATATAAATTTCTAAAACCCCGTGTGTAATGAGCTAAGCAAAGTCATTAAACTACATTTTCTCAGAAAATGTTATTTTGATCCTCTTGAATTAATTGGTTCAGGACCGAATATCAAAATTTAATAAGATAGTATTATAAATAAATATAAACAAAATATGTAGAAACACTCAATAAAATTAAGAGTTATTTTTTCCCACTTTTATAGTGCTCTCTGACTACCGTGTAAAATCTCAAATGCTCATAACGTTTAGATATATATTTCTATAAATATATGTTTTAAGTCATTCCTCAAAGCAAATTGATGAGGTATTTTATTATGTCAAAATTTAATTTGAAGATGCATCTCAGTATGCATAAAATATGAATCCAAAGAAGCATCTTCTAAACACTATTTTTTCAAAAATTAGTGGACGGTTCGAAGATGACTCTCCAGACGCTTTTGTTTCATATCCTCGCACAAGACCCCTCCCTCTTCCTCTTTCTTAATTTTCTAAAATATTCTCAAAAAAATATTTGAGTTCTCACACCCATTCAACCTTCTCATCAATCCATTCAAGCTTATACCATTAAAGCCTTTTCTCCTCCTTTCAAGCATCTCATACATTCAAACTTCTCTTTCTCATCCATTTGATTTTGTAAGTTTTTAAAATTCTTTCTCTTTTTATGTTTTGATTTATAGTTAGTTGTTTAAGCTACATTAAATAGTAGTCGAAACGAAATAGGTAAAACACAAGAACATGCATTGACATTTGTTTGGAGGGTTAGGGCAGTAGTGGTGTTTCTGCCATGGCTAAGAATCGCATCTTTGTCCGAAGACGCATTTCCGGATTTTCTCAGTGATATTTTCAGAGATGTATCTCTGGATTTGTATGAGGCTAAAATTTGGTTGATTTTGTTAGAGTTGAAATTATGATAATCAGATCTCAGATGTCCTAAGAGATATTGAGACACTGATCTCTGAACAACAACACAATGATAAAGTATAACAATTAAACAGTGCAGAAAAATAAAGGAACACACAGAATTATTAACCCAGTTCGGTGTAAAACAACACCTACTCTAGGGGCTACTGTAACACCCCAATTCTACCCGGTGGATAATAATAAAATCAGAGTTCAACATAAATAGGATGCTACATTTTCAACTTAAAATCAAACTTCATTTAATCGCATGCAAAACATATACATAACACTTAATTCGGATGAACCGATAATAGCCTGATTTATTCTTTAAAATCAAACAACTTTTTATTGATAAGCAGCAGAATATACATACTCAACTTCAATTCACTTAACATCTTTTATTCAACTAAAACAACTTCAAGACAATAATTATTACATGTAATCAACTTAAAAATTCAACAACTGAAATAAATATCAACAACTAAACTTCAAGCGTTTATCCCCCCGAGTGCTATGTATCAGAGCGACGATACTGACTCGAACTGAGGAAGGTAATAACTATCCTTCTTGATTACCTGCACGTTACCAACAGAGGGCAACATTCAAACAGAAGGGATGGGATATCGAACTTATAATTGAATGTATGATAATTAATATATCAGAATCAGTTCATATAAAATTACCACTTAACAACTTATACACAACAACTATTACAACAAAGCATCAACACGACATAACGACTAACTCTCAGCTTTTAGATGATACATGTCACAATAAGTCAACAACATAAAGCAACAACAAATATATCATCACCACAACTCAAGATGCAACATCAAATGCGACTCAATTATAATGCACATGCATATGGTACCATTGGAGCAGAACTCACAACTTAAAAATGGAGCAAAACTCCCAACTTAAAAATGGAGCAGAACTCCCATCTTAAAATCTGCCAATAAATAGAGGCATCAACAAGGCATAAGCCTTCTTCGCAGTTTACCAATCCAGACCATCACAGAGTATGCAAATGTATGTGACTCAATGAATGCGCTATCACATACTCACAACAATCATCATTCATCGTAAAGCATAAGCCCACATCACCATTATTACCAGTAAATAGAGGTAATTCATCATCATTTAAAATTTCTTGCAACTTCGCATTATCAACAAGAACTCACAACGACAATCACAACAACACAACAACTCAACATAAATCAACATTGGCCATAAGCCTACCACATTAATCAACGATTCAACATCAACTCAACATAATTCAACTTTGACCATAATTCTACAACTTGATATTTCAACAACAACAATTAACACAATGTTGGCATAAGCCTACAACTTAGTACGTCACAACAACAATATCATATCAACAATAGTAATGTGACAACAACATCAATAAGAAAACAACATTGGCCATAAGCCTAACAATTCGATACCACCTGAAATTCATATTTTCAGCAAGGTATTCAACACACCGTGTCGACTAAAATATACAATAATTGTTCAGTGTAATTATTTGGACAAATCGACTAAATTCTTCTAATTAATTATCGGCTAAACGTTCCATTATTTATACTTTATACTAATATTCCTTATTAGTTTTCTGACAACTTAATACTACACTGCTATCCAATTCCGCTATATACATATACTAACTCCATTAAATTAACTCCATTACTAATGCTAAAGTATCCAACTAATTAGCTCTATTAAATATCAACTTTACGATTGTTATACTAACCATCTCTATTATAAACTAATTCTGCTATGTATTAATACTCTATTAGTTATTGCTACTAAAACAACTCTACTAATTTACTACTCTGCTAATTAATTAGTTACTGTGATATTCTTCTGCTAACTTGTCTTCTTCTGATATCTACTTATTGTTATTGTTACTAAAGTATACAATTAATTAGTTTTCCTCAATCTACATGTACTTCCATTATAACCATTCTATATAATTATTATTTTTGGTTGAAACATACTAAAATTTCATGGATCAGGAACCAACATAAGCAGTACACAAGGAACGGTGCCGCTCGACACACATGCTTGTCCCCCCGACACAACAATCACTCACATCATGCAAATCAGCATGCTTGTGTGCCCCTTGGCACATCCATCAGTTTTGTGCCATTCGACACAGCCTTTTTCCCCTCGGTACAGACTGTTTTCCACGCCGTCTCTTCACAGACTTTATTCTGATACTGATACTAACCCATAATTTTCCCAAATTTTCCTTCGATTAATAGTATTTCAATCCAACCAACGCAACATATAATTAGAATAATACCACAATTACACCAACATCAACATAGAATAATTCTCCAACAAGAGTCATCAATTGAATTTCTACAACTTTATCAGGAAACACAACATTGCAGTAGCAACAAAACAACAACCTTTCACACAAAATCACACACGATAATTTCATATAACCAACCCCACATATCATTTATCATA